CCCAAAAGATAAAACGGAAGTTCACGCTAAACTCAAAGAACTGGACTATTCTAAACTAATGGCATTTGATGCTAATGGGTTGTACGCTTCAGCCATGACAGAAGGTGAATATCCTAAAGCGGAAAGTGCAAGAGCGTTTCTACCAGAAGAAGAAAAAGAATTTGTAAAACTGTTCAATAAACAAAAATTCAGACCTAGAACAGCTATTTTAACAGTGTGGTTTGAATATCCCAAAAACATGTTCTTTCAACCCATACCAGCTAAAGATAAAATAACTTTTACGAATAGAATAGGTAAGAAGGAAACTGGGAGTAAAATCAGGTTCAGAAATGGTTTCTGTTACGACGTTTTAACATCGGTCGATATTCAAGAAAAAGTGAAATCCGGTGGTAAAATTATTAGAATATTAGATGGTATAGTTTACGAAGAAAATTTTAAAACTCAACCATACAGAGATTATATTTTAATTTTGAAGGAATTAAGGAATAAATACAAAAAAGAAGGAGATATGGTTGCTAGTAATTGCATGAAATTATTAGGTAATTCCTTATACAGCTATTCAAAAGGATATAAATACATCGAGACATCTATGGAGTGAAGCGACCTTTAAAGCCAACTTCGATTCACACGTCAAAAGCTATGAAAAAGTAAATGAAACCCAATATATCGTTCAGATTAATGACGAAGTAAAAGAGTTTGTTCCTCCAAAGGATTTTACTAGATTAACACCCACTCATTTAGGTGCATTTATATTATCTCACAGTAAAAAAAATAATGAACAATTTCATTCACGTCATAGATGGATTTTATGAGCCGGAAATATACTATACAGATACTGATAGTTTATACATTTCGTCTAGCAATTGGGATAAATTAAATGAAGCTGGGTTGGTGTCTGAAAACGAATATAGCAAAGGGAAGAATGATTTGGTATTTGGTTTATATTTAGCGCCAAAAGTAAAATACAATATCATTCTAACTTCCGATGGTGTTTTAAAAGAAAAGAAAACGTTTAAGGGTTACTCTAACTATAAGATTAAGGTAGAAGACTACATTCAATTAGCTAGTGGACATGACGTAACGAATGAATTTGATAAACCTTGGGTAAAAAGTTGTACTGATGGAATAGTTATTCCCAATGAAAAACAAAAGAAAGTTTTCAGAAGTTATCTGAATCTCGTTAAGAGAAAAGCACCAAACAGTGAAGGAATTATGTATCCTTACAACAATAAAGATGAGATGTGTTTGGATGAAAACTATGAATTTGATGATTTCGATTATCTAACTATTCAAGAAGAGAATGAAGAGTGTTAATTTTTTTGTTTTAAATGAAGTTGAATAACAATTTCCTCGTTACCAAAATCTATAAACCTATTTTTACCATCTTTGATTTCCAGATTTATATCTTTAATCATAAAGGAATTAAGTGGTAAATACGTCGTTTGAAATGGTTTCTCTTTAATTCTATATCCTATCGGTACAGTGAATTTTGGAAGACTGTAAATAATCTGACGTTTGTATTTTTTGAAAAATCCACCGTTTATTAAATTGCAATGTATATTTATCACATCGATATCATTCTCGATATTAGCTTTGTGTGGTGCTAAAGTGGATTGGGTGTATATTTTTTTTATCAAAGCCTAGTAACGTATTCAATGAATTTTCTACGTTGAAATCAACTTGACTATTATTTCTTAATATCAATTTTATTTTGTTTAGATTCAAATTACTTTCGAATTCGATATTGTTTTTACCATTGACGCTTCCTGCGTATTCAGATAAGTATTCGTTAATGGCTATGTATTCGTAGCTTCCTGGTAGTAAACGTATGGTTTTGAATGTAACTCCGTTATCTGTTGATATTTTTATTTGGTTATTTTTTTTTCGTTGATATTTCTAATGGAATTGTAAACAGAGAAATACTTTAATCCCAATTCATATTCTTGATTGCGATCGAGTTCGTACTCATAATCTAGAGATAATTTAATGTCTGATCTAGTCGAGGTGATGACGAATAGTTGTTCTTTATTTGACATTTTTAATCACGCTTTTATAATCATTTTTATTTATGATACCTTTCTCTAGGAGTCTTTTTAATATACAATTCACTTCATTAAATTGTCTGTGCGATTGATGTCCTTCCTTCATGGCCGCTAATATTACTCGTAATCTATTAAGCAATTCTTCGTTGCTGTCGGATAAAAACGTTATACCTTCTCCAGATACCATATCTTCGAATTCGTCTGTTTCTTGTATGATTGGTGGATAATCTTCTGCATAATCATCTGATTCCTCTTCATCACGTTCAATTACTCTTTTATATAGTTTAACTTCTTTTGATCTTCTTGTTTCGGGTCCTGACTTTCTTATTGCATCTAGAAATTTGGAGTATGCTACTAAATCCTTATAATCGGCAATACCAACATCCTCGCCATTCATTAAATCTATTAATCCTTTCGTTAATCTTTTGCGTCGATTTTGAATTGTGGTGAATTTCCACTAAATATAATTCTAAATCCATTAAACAATAAACCTTGATTATCAACGATTGGTGAAATGCTCTTTGGTAAATCTGGGTTAGGGTTTGAAAAAAGACGATTTATATCATCTAATGTCCTAATTATAACACCACTATATTCAATCGCTTTGGGAGGTGAAGGTTCTTTAGGAGGTTTATATTCTAATTTCCTTTTAATATCCTCTTGAGATTTTAATATGGGTTGAAATAGAGTTTGTAGATTTTCCGTTAATCCGAGTTGTTGTAATCTGTTATTTTCAACTTGGGTCTTTATTTTATTCTTAGCTTTGATATATTCTCTATTTCTTTTTAAAATATTATTCCAATCCATTTTTAAAAACATAAAATTAACATATATCGTTCATAACTCTTTCACCCGCAGGTGTTCTAGTATTTACAAATACATATCCATGATCATCTGGATTTCTCCATTCCTCTCTGTCAATTCCGTGATTTATCGATTGAACGATTTGAGATAAATCTTTGTCGTTTAATTCAAATAATAAAAAACAATTTGCATTTTTTCTAATGAACATAGAATCCATCCCGTAAAAAGATTGGGATTGGTATATGCAGTGACAGTTGTGATGTCTTCCTTTCGTGAAGAATTCTTGTTGAACGGCTTGATTTCTTTGCGCTACGCAGTCGTCAAACACTAGTAAGTTCTTTCGCTCGCTATCAATTTGAGACAAATCTAGATCATTAACATTTTTCGTAAGAAAAACTTTTATATCCGTTGGTTTCTTTCCTTCGATGTAGTTATCTATGAAATCTTTTAATTCCACTTTTTCTTCGTTTTCTTCGTAATATTGAAATAGGTCTTGAACATCTCTCTTTGGTAGATATTCTAAAGCTTTGAGAAATTGATAATACGATTGCTCTGGTGTTGTGTAGATATACAAAGAATCGAAATCTAAAAGGTTTGGTGTTGTCAACATGTTAAAAGTGAGACGAGTTTTCCCAGAACCGGAACTACCGCATATACACATGAGCATTGGGTTATTAGGAAATATTTCTGAATGATTAAATTTTTTACCCATTTTTTATTATTTCAATTTGTTCCAAAAATAACTCCTTCTCCTTTATACTTCGAAAGATATATTCCTTCTCCAGTGCGTATATTTTTTAAAAATATTCCATTACCCTTATTATCCTTGTTTAACAGTTTTCTTGGTTTCTTCCCCAAATCTTTTTTCAAATTCTTTTATTGTGCCTATCATTTCTCCCACTCCAGAACCTTTGGCCAACTTTTCCATTCTTAAATTATGTCTATGTTCTTCGGCTGCGTTCTTTTCATCGGCGGCTTTTTTAGCAGCAGCTTCTACAATAGCAGCTTTCTTTGCGTTGGCAACGCCTACTGCAGCAGCTGTACCACCAGCCACTGTACCGGCTGCAATAAGTCCACTAAATATTAAAGGAAGGAGAGGTAAAAATCCACCTTCTTTTGCATTTGCTTCAATTCTTTCTAAGTCTATATCGTCTCTGACTTTACAATATTTATATTTATCAATAAGTTGTTTAGTTATGCTGATTTTTTTACCATTATAAGTTATTGTAGTTGGTGAAGCTGTTTCTATAGCTTCTATTATTTTCTTGACTAAAGTTTCTGGTTTCATTTTTAAAGATGTATTTTGTACTCAATTCTTATCATTCTTCTATCTGCTATTTTAATTAAATGTTTTGCTTCTTCCAATAATAAACAATAACCTGTTATATCTCCTTGTGTTTTTTCAATATGAATATTTATGTTCACTTCTGTTTTGAAAAGATCTTCTTGGTGAGCTGAAAGATCAAAACATAAGATTGGATGATTAAGTGCAAAATCTACATATTCAAACTGAGGTGGATTTCCAAATAATTCACACATATTTTTATAGTTTCTATACAATTCATTATAATCCTTTGTGGTTGGATTAATTGTTAAGGGTTGGTTAGGATAATTATCGTTGTTCAATCTTACTCGAACTTTATGGATTAAAGGATCTTGAGTTTGGTTCATTGCCACTGTAAAGACATTATTGTTATTCGTTTGAGAATCTGGTAAGTTCTTGAAACCAACTATTAAATATCTTGCTGGTTTAATAGTGTTAGTGATTGGCCATGTGGTGGATTCTCCAGTTAAAGTCATCCTACCTACAGTGTTACGATGAAGGAAAGCTATTTCAATATCTTTAGTTAACGAGTTGAATATTTTCGTTTCTACTTCAATTGATGGTGTTATTACGGGTATGAAAAGTTGGAGATTCGTTATTTCTAATTTTGCATCTGAACCATTCTCTCCAAAGAATATCTTATCGTCGTTTATTTCACTTTGTAGATGAATTTTATATGGTAAGCCTATGGAAACTTTTCTATGTTTCAACAGACCGAATAAAGGATATAATTTCCAATTTACGTAATTACCCCACCTATTATTCTCAACAACATTATTATACTGAAGTACTCGTTTTTCGAATCCATGATTAACTGCTCGTCCTACTCTTTCTATCGTGTTTCGAGCAACAACTCTTACTCTAGCTAAATCGGCATCATTTGCAAGATTTCTTACCGGTTCCTTTAAAATACTTCCATCACCAACATCGGGTATCCAGCCTGAAACTGAATCGAAATCTTTAGGATATAAAACTGTTTTCAACATTGTGTCGAATTCCCCAGGATGTTTGATTGTTTCTATCGGATTTGAACCAGCTTCCAAAACCATCTCGCTAAATAAAGATGGAAAGATATTGTTTTCTAAAGTTGTATTAGTTTGTGGTACTTGATTCTGAGTGGCGTCTTTGATTTTGAAATCGCATCTGAAATAAGCATCGGAAAGAAGCAAACAATTCGATAATGAATTTATTTCGAAGGTAATTCTACCACCATCATTCAATTGGGATTTAGAACCAACAGTGGGTGAGATGATAAGATAATCCTCTTTTTTCTTGTTAAATGAATAACGAATTGGATCGTATAATCTAAAGATTGGATCTAGTATTTTATAAGGTTTAAAATTTGAGTAGAAAATTTTAATATGCTTTTTTTTGATGGAATGTAGGAAATTGATTGAAGGTGTTTTTAGTGTATGAAATGTAGGGAATGTATGAAATGTAGGTATTTTAGTGTAAGAATTTATGAAATGTAGGGAATTTAGGTCTTTTTAGCTGTAAGAATTTATGAAATGTAGGATGTTTAGGTCTTTATGGGAGCTTTCATTTTGGTCGCATTTTCCCCATGAAAATGGAATGGGGAATCCCCTTATGCGACCTAATTGAAAGCTCTAGTACTACTATTGAGAGATGCAAATTAGTTAGTTACGAATATTCACTTCGGATGTGCAGAAATATTCCCTGAAAAATCTCCGTAGAGTGGGGCCAGGTTTTTCTAACCGTACTCCAGTCGACAACTCTCAAAATAGGTATCAGAGACTGTAATAGATACAGATGATTTGGACTAGGATATAGTGTATTGATCTCTTCAGAAAGATAGTGTGCTCTTAGCAGGTTGGAAATCTTTCTCAATAAATTCTACCCCAAAGGCCCTATGTGACTAGTGTTATTGGCGGTACCAATTTTAATCAGAGGCATTTTAATAGAGGCATTTTAATCAGAGGCATTTTAATCGGATCGGAGGCATTTTAATCGGAGGGTCTGTTGTGACTAGTTTTATCCTCTTTTATTTGGAATTTTCTGGGTGTTCCTTTATGTTCCATATTTATAGTGCTTGTTTGAATAGTTCTCACGTTTGTGCCGCCTCGAATATTTTGGGCTTTATTACGTTAATGTGAATACCATTGTGTGCTGTTTGTGTTCCAGAGCTTTAAAGCAAAATCCCATCCAAAAACCAAAAGATCCGTTCAGCATTTCCGCCTGCCTTTAGGTTACTACTTTATGCGGTTTTACATTATCAAGTATGAATTTAGGCTGAAAAAAGAAGGCAAACAATGTCTAATGGGAATATTCGTTTTTTAAAACTAAATCTCTAAAATATTGATTAGTGAGGTGGTGTACAATTTAGAATAGATGCTTATGACACCAAGCAGAAATTCCAAACACTATACGTCATGTAATTAATCGCTGAGGTCGACTTCTCTCTAACATTAAACTGCTTGTCCACCACGGCAGTTAGTCGAAACAATCATGATGGCGGCTTCCAAGGGTCAAGGTTTAGAGGTCTTACATAAATACTCGGATCATAGATCCATCAGTGAAACAAAAGCCACTAGGTTCTGCAATTCAACAGATGGGGGCTTATATTGCCGCACCTATTTCCGTTCGTCTGTCTGTCCATAATTGCCCGTAAACACTCTAAGAGGCACAATACTTGACTGATTTCGACGAAACTTGGTATGAATATTTGTAATCACCCCCGGATGAACCTTGCAGAAAATTGTAATAATCCAAAAACATTAGTATGAGTAATTGCCCTTGTTCTTGAAAATGCGCCCAATTTTTAGCATGTGAACAATGTAGAAGGCACAATGTTTGACAGATTTTGACGAAACTTGGTGTGAGTATTTGTAATCATCCAAGGATTAACCCTATTGAAAATCAGAAAAATATTTAGTATGAGTTATTGCCCTTGTTCTTGAAAACGCGCTCAATTTGTAGCCCATAAAAACTCTAGAAGGCACATTTCTTGGTGGATTAGACGAAACTTGGTGTGAGTGTTTGTTATCAACCAAGGATGAACCCTATCGAAAATCAGAAGAATCGAAAAATATGAGTAATTGCCCTTGTTCTTAAAAACGCGTTCAAGTTTTAGCCTGTTAACACTCTAGAAGGCAAATTCGTTTCGTTGCGCAGTTCGGATCGTTAGTTCTTTATTTCAATACCTGGTCAATGAGCCAGATTTGCTTACGAATTTAGTGATTCGATCCCGATTCCCAGATAGGGATGATACCCTCGAATTGTTTGACCTCACTTCCTCTGTCAGTGCAGGATGTCGTGAGGAATAAAATGCAAATTGTATCTTGGCACAATCGAACAGCAGGTTGATTTTGATGAGTTTTACCAATCCAAGTCGAAAAATGAAAGGAGTTTTACGTTCTACTTTTCTACACCATGTGGGCTAATGAAGACGGTCATCCAAGTCGAGAAGCAGAACGTAAAACTCCATTTCATTGAGTGTGCAATTAATATCTGTACTATTCTAACACTTACACTTTGACTTGAACGAGGTCACTGAATTAATTTGACAGTAAGGTGTTAAATAGCTTATCTTGTTAAGATTTACTAGGCTTTATTTACAGTTATATACCAAGATAACAATCTAAATATATATACATACACACAAACAAACAAACATCTGTTTACATTGAGATCCCTGTCGAAATGAGGTAAGACTTGTCGTGTTTAACCGCTTTGTGCATTTTATATGGACTGAAATACCTGTATGAGTTTGGTTTTAAACTGAATTTCGATCCAAAGTGGACACAGTGGACTGTTGTATCCAGTCAGTGTATATTTGTGTGGAATACGATCTTGCGTCAATGATGCGTTTGAGTTGGGAGTAAATCTGTGCCTGCTCGGGATGCAAAACGGGTTTGTATTTGAATAGAAGTGGACATGTTCAGAGTTTCGTTGAAAACTTCACCGCAAAATTTGTGTGATTATGAAGTAAAAGACAAGTGGACATCTAGATAGGAAAAAAATTGAACGTTACACCTAGCTGTGTTTTTATTGTAATTGAGTACTGGGGAAAGTGTATCGAATTTAGCTGAAATAGTACCTCTGTTCGCTCAGTTTATCAGTTCACAATGATTATGGTGTGGTGTGGCATATAAAGCGCTGATGTTTTTTGACAAGTGTATTTGGATTCAGAAAGTCTAGTTCAAATGTAACACATCATCTACCTATTCACCCACCATATCTCTCTGTCAGCCAATTTATTACAGATTTATCGGAGTTTACTCTCTAAAAGTGGTATAAAATTCTACCAAGGGAATAGCCTACCAGGGTTGATATAACAGGGAGGTAATAAAACCAGATTACGGATCTAAATATATGTCTTGGTTGGTATCCAATTGTAACCAATATTTCACTCAATGAAATTTCAGCAGTTTTGCTTTGATGCATATCGGCTTTCTTTTTGTGATCAACATTTCATATGAACGCTTATAACAAAGCAATTTTGACAGTTTCGATTCGAATCCATGATCATCATTTCATGTGAACGCCCGTAACAAGACACTTGGCCACGAGATAAGACTTAATTCAAGGGAGATAAGTCATCTGATAACAGACTGTTTAATTATTCTAATTAACACAGAGTAATTAGTAATAGAGAAAGGTGCTAGTTTAAACATTATATTTATAGGAGGGATAATACAGATATCTAGACTATATCCTTTTATTGATATATTGTAATATTGTGAGACAATTCAACTTGTAGAACTATTTGACATTTTCTGTTCTCTATTCTGATTTTCCTAACCATTCATCGCCTATCTGTATCCCTGTGATTAAATATGTGAAAATCAAGTGTATTCGAGTAAAGCCGGAAAAATAACCTAAAATAATAAGAAAATCCAGCTTCTACATTTAAAAAAGAGCACCTATTCTAACCAATTAATTTAAACCGTAGTGAATCCAGAGTGTTTCGGATTTAAAACAGAGCATATGTGACGCCGGATAAGTAATCAAATAATTCAAACCGAAGTGTCAGGATTTAAACTGTGTCTGAATTATTATAGAGCACCAGCAAAATCTGAAAACTGACTCGATATATAAACCAGATCCCAGGATCAAAGCTCAATTATTATAAGAAAATGGAGAAGACACCCGGCCTAGATCACTGGGGTGATATCACTGTTGTGGTTATATATTTTATAATGGTCCTGGCTGTAGGATTATGGGTACGTGTTTTTGCTGTCTCAGTGTGGACATATATTGTCTGCATCCATGTCCATAGATCGTTTTGTATGTTTCTTGAATACCTTGACAAAACGATAAAACTTGTGGTAAAATCTTCTTCACAATATCAAGCTATTGCAAGCTTCATACATATACCTATTGTCTGAGCAAATCAAAAAGTTTGTCGATATTTTGTAAGAGAATTGGAATATCAGCCTCAAACTAGTACTGATAGTCTTAGAATGTATTTGCGTTGATGAAAATATAATCTTTTGTAAGTTTAAATTGAAAAGAAACACATTTCTCTCCAAGAAATTTCAACCCAAAAATGTCACAAATATTTGGAATATGATTGGTTGTACAATAAACTTTTGTGATACAAGAAAGGTTGCCATTATAGTCCAAGACGAAGATCGTAATAGCTCGACATTGTGAAGACGAATTTTGTAATAGCTTGACATTGTGAAGACGAAGATCGTAATAGCTTGACATTGTGAAGACGAAGTTTGTAAAAGATTGACATTTTAAAGACGAAGTTTGTAATAGCTTGGCATTGTGAAGATGAAGATCGTAATAGCTTGACATAGTGAATACCAAGATCGTAATAGCTTGACATTTTGAAGATGAAGTTTGTAAAAGATTGACATTTTAAAGACGCAGTTTGTAATAGCTTGACATTGTGAATATCAAGATCGCAATAGCTTGACATAGTGAATACCAAGATGTAATAGCTTGACATTTTGAAGATGAAGATCGCAATAGCTTGACATTGTGAAGACGAAGATCGTAATAGTTTGACATTCTGAATATCAAGATCAAGTGCAATAGCCTGACATTTTGAAGATGAAGATCGTAATAGCTTGGCATTGTGAAGATGAAGTTCGTAATAGCTTGACATCGTGAAGATGAAGATCGTAATAGCTTGACATAGTGAATACCAAGGTCGTAATAGCTTGACATTTTGAAGATGAAGATCGTAATAGCTTGACATTGTGAAGACGAAGATCGTAATAGCTTGACATTGTGAATATCAAGATCGTAATAGCCTGACATTTTGAAGATGAAGATCGTAATAGCTTGGCATTGTGAAGATGAAGATCATAATAGCTTGACATAGTGAATATCAAGATCGTTATAGCTTGACATTTTGAAGATGAAGATCGTAATAGCTTGACTTTGTGAATATCAAGATCGTAATAGCCTGACATTTTGAAAATGAAGATCGTAATAGCTTGACATTGTCAAGATGAAGTTCGTAATAGCTTGACATCGTGAAGATGAAGATCGTAATAGCTTGACATAGTGAATACCAAGGTCGTAATAGCTTGACATTGTGAAGATGAAGTTCTTAATAGCTTGACATTGTGAAGATGAAGTTTGTAATAGATTTACATTTTGAAGACGAAGTCTGTAATAGCTTGACATTGTGAAGACGAAGATCGTAATAGCTTGACATTGTGAAGATGAAGATCGTAATAGCTTGACATTGTGAAGATGCCAAAAATAGACTTACTACTACTGATTGAACGTTTGAACGGACAATGTTTATTAATTATATTACCAATATATGAAGAACACAAGAAATTACCTTTTTTTTTTAGCAAATAGACACTATTACAAGATAACGAGTTGAAATATTAGTCTTATGTTATGGCATTCTTTTCATAGACCACAATTTTAAACATGACAGTACCATATGACATTTTTCTGGTGTTAATCCAACATACTCTATACAAGAACTTTCTATTTTCTATTATTTTAGTCGTTATGTCGACCGAACCGGGGCAGCGTGAAGAGTTATTTTCTGGCAGGACGAGACATGAAATGGTTTCCAGTAAGTAGATAATATTAGCAAAACAACTTTTGTTGTTTTTCCATTTCTTAATAATCCTTTCTTATTATTTCATGTTTATTGGACGTATGGACATTGATTAGCCCATATTAGCAAAACAGACAGAAAACTATTTAGTAGCAGGTAACGTTAATCAGTAAAGCAATCAGAAAACTGTGACTGGTGCCAACTGTAAGATATTTTGCTGATTACTATTAACTTAATGTTCAAAATGTTACGTCTACTTCGAAATGTATTTTTAAACACTAAACTTATAATTTATTGGACGTCAAGTCGGTAAGGAGCCAATACTATAAAACCACCAGAAAATGAGTTAAGCCATTGTTCCAGCCTGGACCGGTTGCCTAAAATCATAATTGACCTAGTATACACTGGCTATTGAATCTGATTGGTTGTAAATCCATATCCGCTTTGTTGATGGGGAACATTATTAAAAGTAAGTCAGTGTGAATGAAAACGTCTTCGAATTTTAAATCTTTATTCCATGAATCGGTAAATTTAACATCCGTGGATAAGAAATATCAATCCCCACGAGTTCTGTATTTTAAATTTCGTTTCTGATGTAAACAAGTCGTTTGAAACTTGTAGATTGAATATGCTTAATTAATGTTGATCTCCCCTTAATATACTCGAAACACAGAATTCAACTGTAAATCCCAGACTATATCCTCGTCGTAGACAAGAGTAGTCTGGGTGTCAGAGACTCTATACACAAATAGGTTGACTGGCACTATTATCATTAAGAGTAGAATTGGGATCCAGAACAAAATAGAAAGGGCTTTTGGGATGGCATCCACCGCAAAGTCCGGAACATTCTATTTTAATAATACGATTGCTTACTCTACTAATGTTCCTTATTTCTGCATTATCTCCGAAAGTTAGCCAGTCTGCGGAATTATCCAGCATGAATCCAGTGTCTCGAGTATCTATCTGAATAAACCCACGTTGTAAATGATCGCAGCTAGGATTGTTTGAGGTACAATCGTACACTGTGGCATACTGCTGCATTCCAACTAAATTTGTCGTGAAGGTTCGGTCCGCTCGTACAATCCTCATATTGACTTATTATTATTTTTACCTTGTCGAATGTAGCGCCTCCGAGTCGAGATTCAGTTGAGGGTTTGACCATACAATTTGTGCCATTGATTTCCGTGCTAAAATCCGTGCTTTTAACAAAGTTTTTGTGAACAAACGTAACGTATGTTGTTGGGTTTTCGGCGTGCAGACCGTTACAATAAACTTTTACGCGTTCAGTGTAATTATAGAAACTCGGGTAGATCCAGTATTCTCCGTCCGTGAGATTAGCATCACATCTCTGAACATCGAAACAAGATTTTAGTTTTCTACACTGACTAGTACCAACCCAACTGCCATTGTTAGCGCATGTAAATTTCGGAGTCATTTTCAAGACACCAGGTCCACCACAAGAATATATGGCGTCATATCCGGTTACAGTTCCCGAATATTCGACACTAGATGAATACGTCATATCCGGCGGAACATTGCAGTCATGTATGATACAAACAGCCGTCGCACTCAACCCTTCTCCTTCCACAAAACATTTCTCATTTTCCAAGCAAGTCATATTTCGACAAGGATCAGATATCAGATTTATCCAAGAAGATTTTTCAGCGTACAGAAATTCCGGAGAGCTTATTAAAGGGGCGATAACTGAAGTTACCTTCCGGTTTAGTTCACAGTTTCCAGTTTCTAAGTTGAAATTGAAGGAGACACAATTAGTTTGATAACCACACTGTTTACCGCAGTTCATTAATGTAGTGGATGAAATAATTTCAATCAAAAATCCTTCAAGTTTTTCACCTTGTACAGTGGATTGTAGAAGATGGGGTTCTGTACAGTGATATAGACTGTTTGTTCTAGTGACGTTAAGGAGCCACACGGAGAAAATCACCAGAAATCTGTTCACTTTGTTTGCCATGTTTGTCAGCTTATCCGATATCTGTGCAATAGAATCGTGGCTTTGATATTCTCAACCCCTGTATTTATCCGATACAGCAGTGTATTATTCTCGGTCTGTGCTTTCGGTATTCACGTAATGACTAGATATCTCGACTTGATAATTTTCGCAGTTTTCATAGGCAATTTTATTTCCGTACAAGCAATATCACCTATACCGTTGAATATTGTCCTTCGTATGACAGTTCAGATTCATCACTGAAAAATATCAGCATAAATCTATAATTTCATTTTGTTTATTGTTTAGAATAAAATGAATAAATGAATAATTAAATGATTAAGTAATTAAATAAATATCCTACCCCTTACAAACCACTAACTATTCTGCAGTTTTACTTCAACGTTTCGTCTGAATTACTCTTGTTTAAATGTCAATTGTCATGAAGTAATTTCGTCAAAAGTCATTTATTCCAAGCGTGTCTTATTAAACATCTACTTTTATACTCATTCTCAATCAATACCGGAGACTTTATAGCCAATAGACTGAAAATGAATATCCAATCGTTGATCGAACTATTGTTTATATTCAGGTAATACTATATTTATAGTTCCCATGGAATGTAAATCACGCTTATATATTCTACAGCATACTTACTTGTTGCAAACTGTAAAAATTAAACTAATTAGACCGGAGATAATTTGATATTTCATATCGTTTATGTCTAAAAATTGATTTTTGCGAAAGGCTCAGCTTATCCTAAATACATTTATATTTTAGTAGACAATTACTTATTATTTTAAGTTCCCTAGAGAGTAATGTTTGAGTGACACCCATAATATAAATTCAATACAATACAATACAATACAATACAATACAATACAATACAATACAATACAATACAATACAATGCAATATACAATACAATACAATATACAATTAGACCTGTTCGCCACAGATGTCAGCTTCCGGGCTATTTTGCGTCCTCTGCATTTATATTTCGCAAAACACGAATGGAAATAGACTGTTTGGAAACGTTCCCAACTGTAAAAATATCTTTATTGGGCTATTTTAGACAGTGGGTTTTAGGTTATTATTCCACTAGGACCGACAAGGGTGTGAAGTTAACACCATTTGACTTTATGACCTGTGCCATATCTTATCATGAAAACGTCTACCAAGATTCGTGAAAACTGGATAAAAATGAAAGAAGTTAGAATTTTGACCAAAATTCAATACAAAAAGTATTTGACACAATTTTCGAATCGGGATTTTCTGAAACTTTTTCGCTTAACCGCTTCCGGTTGGAAGTCTGCGGTCTGGAATGTCTGACCCAATGCCAAAAATTTTCTAAGTATTGCAGTTTTTGCAAGGTACTCTGACAAAAATATGAAAAATAAAGACAACAATACAGTTTCGAGTTCAACTCTAAAGCAGTAATTACAAAATGCAATACAATTACACTACAACAAAATTACAAAACAGTCTGGCTCACTAGCACAGAAACTAAATTACTTTAATAATTCTTGAAGACTAGATATACTTTCAGCAAATAAAACGTCATAACGTCTGTATACACGAGAAAAAATATATTCAATGTGTGTAAGTTCAATGCTGGAATGATAATATATTCAATTCATACAACATTATGAGATAACAATGCGAAATATTGTGTTCTTTCTATTATTCCTTCTGTTAATTATTTATACCATACGTTTATCTTGCATTCAATCGAAAGCTTTGGAAAAATCAACAATAAACTTTAAGACAATAAGCCCATTTTTAAGAATCCAACAGTGATTTGAAATAGTAGACCTAATCAAATATTATTTTATTCAAAATAGTGCGATATCTCTATAGTTACCAGTTTTGGTGACGTCACTAACTGTCAAAATTCTTGCAGGAATAAGTGAATAGTGAATTTCAGTCTGGAATAGGTTTTAATATAATTAGAACTAAAAATCACAGAATTGATCTTTTCCTTTTAAAAAATCATTAATGAGATATGTCAGTCAATATGAAGAGTTAAAACAAATCAATGTATAATTGGCCAAATCGGGGATAAGATTCATAATTCATGTCTTATAAAGCTGTCTAAAATGGGAACACCTCATGCCGAATTTGACAAAAATGAATTTTGTATAAAAGATTTAGAATATGAATATGATATCTGCTAAATATATCGTTTATTTGATGTCTATGATAAAGGTAGTTACCGTTTGCCACCGTTGCCATGTAAGACATAAAATATTAAATATTGTTGACTATAAGTAAAAAAGTGGTTTACTAAAAAACCATTACCAAAATTAATTCAATAGCACTCATGTTCTAGACCACAAATACTTCCTTGCCAAGCCAAGCGTATCCCAAAAGTAATTCATAATTTATAAGCATATATTGTGTTTTCTTTTTGTACCATTCTTGATAATTTAAATATTGAATTTTCAATTTTGTCGATTAATACATTTATTGGACAAAACAATTAAAAACAATTTTTGCTTACCTTTTAACATTCCGGGTTTTAATTACGTAACCTTGTCGTATGAAGGGTATTAAAGAAATTACAATCGACATATTAAAGCAAAAAGTAGAAATTATTTACTCATACGTCAAAGACAAGTGCTTGAAGCTGGAAGCGCATCTATTTTAGATACGGAATGAACCTGTATTTTATAAAGAGGAATATCGACCAAGAATATGTATTATTGATATAATTTTGTCAGTGGAGAACACGTACTTAAATACAATTCAATAGTAGTGCCCTTACTACATATACACATGTATAATCCATAACCCTTGGTATATTATTGACTGCATAAATATTGATTGAACAAAATGACGTACAAATTGAATTTGGAAGAAGTTGTACATAACTTATATTTAAAATTAGGGGTAAATGTACCTTTAAATTGCACATTGGAACGAAAAAAATGTCAATAGTTAGTAGCGTCCTTACACCTAAACCATTGATATATTATTGCTAGTAAGAATTAAGAAATAGTTTTTTTCATAAAAGCTTTTCAATGGTAAGTAGCGTCCATTTACCCCTAAATCATGCATATACTATAGACAATAAAAATTAAAAATTAAATGTACACTGAAGTCAAAATTAATTTTTATATTCCTTAAGAAAAATGGAAGATAACAAGGAAAAATTTGTACTTTTACATTATATATAAACTTTATATCTGAAGATCGAATATCACACTTAAAAGGCATTATTGGAAACCAGGGTAATATATTTCACTTAATTCCATCAACCCGTATCGCTTCCTGTTTACTATCTGCACTAGTAGGAAAACCTAATCTTAATGTATTGTTCAGTGTGTTGAATCGAAGAAACAGACATTCACGCCTAGCCCACACTGACAATACATGGTACTAGACCCTTCTGCGATTCATTTATATACATCCGATAACATCATCACCTTTTCAGGGTTGGCTCGTTTTGATTATGCAACGTTTGTAAAAAAATGAGGAAATCAGCCACTAGACCTTGATTATTGAATGTCCGGGCTTTATGAATTATTCGTTTTATTAACATCATGACATTGACAGGGTTGACATGCTATTATGATGCAGATAGTGTCCAAAATGTGAAGAAAGTTTCCAATCCATAACTAACTGATGTAGCCGAGGATCGTGTTACATAAAAAAACCCGTAGACTTCGTAGAACTCTTACTTTTTCGTTATTATTAGCCCCTTCGTTCCAACTTCGGAACTTCTTTTTCAACCACAAAATTCAGTATGTAATCTGATACCGGACGGACATTTGTCGCAAATTTGTTAACTTGAAAAGCCATATATTTTTAACTGATTTTATAGATTTCCAAAAATTTCTATGAGACCCTGATACCGATTTGCAACAATCGAATCAAAAATAAATGGTTTCGTGCAATTACACCAAAATGTATTGTTTTTTGACGTAGCTATCGCGAAAGCAGCTTATATCTTTTAAGGCCCTTTGCGAGAGTGACGTCATGAAGTGATCAATTTACAATGTGAAAGAATAGCACGTACCTGTACTCCCCATCTCCCCACACCCTTGGACAACTTTGTGGCCCCTGCTCGGACCTCTGAACTAATTTTTCCTGGAAACGCCACTGCTAACGTTTAGTTGAACCAAAAACATACGTCTGATTGAACGTTGGAATGGTGCAAATCCATTCTATCAGTATTATGGGAAATCTACAAAATTTCTTCATTTGATTCGAATGTCAATCAAAAATGGAATAAAATTGGCGTTTGTTGTTACTAGCACGAACTTTATAGTTTGCTGAAGGAAGTCAAAGACAAAATTGTAGATATTGATGAATGCAATTTATCAGATTCGCTGACACAACCAACCTTTGAAGTTTCATATTTAAAAGGAATATTTATTCAACTTCTTATGTGCATTGTGTTTATCAACCTCTCTCATCTTAACTTTCATGTCTGTCAAACCGACCCAATGCTCTCGCTGACAATAAAACCTTGAAATACATATGGATATTTGCATATAACGCTGGCCCAGAAAATAAAACGGTAACACATTTCATTTCAGGATTCTTCAAAAAGTATCTAAGGCCTGATCATAATATTTAGACCTAAAATTCCTTGTCAAACAAAATAATGCCGAAAGTAAATACTTTATTTCTCCTCTTTCATTGAACTACCTGGTACCCGTAAGAGAAACCAGGAGTTGTAAGAGCCCTATTTTCTGAGGGAAGCACAGAATATCTACAAAATAAAATTCATCTTTTATGTCAAGAAATATCAAAAAAATAAGTGTTCGGCAGGAAGTTTTGCATACCGCTGCTTGTCTGAGGAGCTATTAGTATCCTAGGTTGGCAATAGTTGATACACACACTGAAATGAAATTTTCATTTACAAAATTTTCAAGAAACATAATTGTTATAATGTCATTAAAACATGACAAAGTTAATATCTAAGAGTCCAAGGTGTTGAACACCAGGATGCTCACAGGTTTAAAAACTGTGCGTCCAAAATGATTGAACCAACGAAATCGTCAAATTAGTTATACATACTTATTATGGACAGAACAGCAGGCTCGATGACACTGGAAAGACGCGAAAGACTAACTTTGACATTTGTCTCATCTGAACAACACCATGTTTTGATATGACAATCCTTTGATCTGCACCAGAGAATGATTTGGAATGAGAAAGACACATACGACTTGTTCTATTCAAGTTTAATAAAGAGGGCATCAAGGTGAATTATTGATGGAGTATATAAAGCGTACAGACTAACAATAATCAAAAACAATTGGTTACTAGTTCTAAATGGGTTAACAAATACACATGAGATCACTAACATGTGTCTCGAGTGCTTTACAATTATTTACATGTCTTGTCAAGAATTTATAATATCTAATCCTTTAGCGACAAGTAGGGGTAGAGATCACATTAAATAATGGAACACAATTTTATGATAACCTACTCCTTAGTTTTAATACACACTACGTTTCTACATTGTCATCTTCAGGTGATAATATCAGGTTTACAATATCTAAACGTTTGACATTCCTTATAACATAGTCATTTTGTAGTAGTAATAATAATGATAGCAATCATATTAATGATATTAAACATAATATCTTTCATTTGACAACCAGTTCAGTCAAAAGTCTAATACTTTCCACGTAGTGTCTCTTTCAGCCCAATCAGGTTTTTGAGTTTTTATCACGGAAGAGATGAAATGAATATGTATATATGGTCAGAAGCCTCGTTATCAGTCATTCAAACTGTAATTTGTATATATTCCAGGTTGGTGCCTCGCTATTCTCCAGTAATATCGGCAGCGAACATTTTGTAGGTTTAGCGGGAACAGGTGCAGCTTCTGGTATAGCTATGGTCATGTACGAATGGATGGTAAGACTGTTAACAGTATTGATTATTGCTATAGCATTCTAGAAGCAGAACTACAGGTCCAAGCTTCCCGGGATCACTAGAATCAAAGGGCCTGATTTTAGGAAAGGGCCAATCAGACCAGAACCACAGGGATTAGGGGTCCGCAGTAGTAAACTTCTCTGACCGGTGAGAAGGAAGAACTTTCATCAGTTAATTCGCATGCCTGTTGTTCCCACCACTAAAGTGTGCGGCCTGTAACCCGGAACCTTATGTCCTTTTTATTTTATTTTATGCCGTCCAACAAATGACAACTATATTGACTATGTGATTTATTGACACTATCATTTTATTGAAACGTCATTTACAATAACAGAATGTCATTATAATACATTGTTGTCACTTAGTACATCTTATTCCCAATGGTGTTTTAATTTTTAAAATTTATATCAATAACGTTTCCCTTTAAAGGAAGGGGAATTTTATTATACTAATTGTTATTTCAGTCGATGCCGTTGGTTATTTGTCTCGGTTGGATTTTTCTACCAGTCTATATCTCAGCAGGAGTAAGTTATTTATAATTTATAATAGAATATTAAACAATAAGAAGTTTTATTTACATTATAATTAGCTATATTGATAAAAGTGACAATCGTCGCTGTCTTCCAGACTATATTTCTAGGAACAATGAAGAACCGTTGTGTACATTGTATAACACATCGTAATGATACAGACTATACTTTTTGAAAATGAACTTCATGGTTGCTTGTGAAAATGACGGAGATATAATTTTCAAAAGACAAATTTCCAAAGAATGTTGTAAAAGATAGAAGAGATGTTAATGAAACCTGAAATAATAAAAAATTACCAATTACCAGAGGTCCGAACTGCAAAACGAAACCCGATACCCAAAACAACGTAACAGAAATACATTGGAAGCAGCTAATAAAATTTATAAAGAACAGTGGCGTTTCTACTTTCATTTTTTACCATTTTAAATAATGAAAGAAACCACACCCTATAAACCGATACCCCCTAGAAACCAGCAGTATTGTAGAAGAGAATAATAGTGATTTAGGTGCCGGATTAGCGGCTTGTTTCCGAAACCTTACTTATTTTCTGTAAAAATTTCATTTTATATAGAAATAAAAATATTGTTTAAACTAAGAGAATAATCAATAAACCGGCACTCTTCTAAACCACAATCCAGTATCGATTAATCACTTATCCAACTGAAAACCCATCTCCTTTGTTTGACATGTAATGACGAGTGACATTTGACCAAAGATCATAAAATCGTTGGGCTGCCGATTCAGAGTGTTTCACTGCAACACATTTAAGCAGTCTATGTTTTTAAAGCTAATATTTTTTTAGGTTTACACCATGCCAGAATACATGGAGAAAAGATTTGGTGGGAAAAAAATTAGAATTTATCTCAGTTGTCTGTCACTAGTGTTGTATATCGTCACCAAATTAGCAGTAAGTATGTTTTTCAGTAATGATAAGAAAGTCGACATATACAGTGTCAATATCAGTTGACATAATACCAATCAATCATATACCACTATAAACCAATGTATACCAAATCAAGCACATGCTTATCTATATCTATCCAGATTGCAATATACTCTATATAATAGTATATATATATAAACCCACATAACCATAGGTAATATAAAACCTCGTCGAACCAACATCAACCCATCCTAATCGACATCTACCTCTCCTTTCCAAACTAACTTATAACTATCTTAACAAGTGACACAATACATCAAATGGATTCACAATTATGCGATAGTTGACAACATCAACAAGAATGAGTGCTGTAACGGATACCAACAGAACGGGACACGATTTCAAAGTTTTCTTGAAAAAGTCTTCTCACACATTTAATACTTTTAGGGACCATTTCCTTACAATTTACAATTTTGTTAGTAGAGTTATCAGTAAAATGGGGTATATATACCCCTTCCAACTATATCTCGCTTGATCATCACTCTTATCTCCCTCAATTGTGCGCTTTAATAAAGAGTCTTGTCTGCGGTTAGAAATTGCGATGAGTGGTAAATACCAAAACGTAATGTTTCTGAGCATTTTCTTACAAAACTTTGGTTTTAATACATTAACGATCACGGCGTTGGTCGAACACCTCAATCATCAATATGTTAACATCCGTTCAATAAAGAGAAAAGGAAAAATCGAAGTGGCCTCATGTTATTGTTGGGAATCTGAAAAAGACGAATTTCCGCCGCTGCTCTGGCTAAACAATTTTAAATGATTATTGTTGATTGATTTGAGTTGAAAGTTTTTATATTGTTGTTGACTCTTCATAAAAGAAGTAAAAAATGTCCTTGGACATTTTACATCAATAATTGTCCATAGCTCTTTACAATTTGCACCCTTTCTCTCAGAAATATATATGTAAACGAAATGATTCAAGGCGTTCTGCACAGAAATAAAAAGAGCTAATGCCTTAATCGAACTTCTTATATAAAGCCTTGATATGCATAAATTAATCTTTAATATAAATAATACATAATTGAAATTGAGATCTTAAAAAAATACAGTCGGTTATCTCGATCGGCGTCGACTGTGTGTGAAATTCCGATCACTTTGAAGAAGTCATCTTCACTCATATTTCCAATCGAACAAGCTGAAAAAGGGTACGGGTAATCGGGTTGGTAGAAAGGATCCTTAATTGTAAACCTCGTTATCCTTGTAAAAGAAAAGTTTTTTCTTTCTTTTTCATACTTAAATTTGATTTTTTCAATTCAAGGCCCGATAACATTGTTGAGAGGTAGTACTGTGGAATCTGCTGTAAAATTGAATGGGGACGACTTCTTGTGTTCTGTATTCTGTAAATATATCTTGTTTTACAGCAGGACAATAGGGATAATCAATGGTTATCTTAAAATATTTTGATTTGTTTTTGACAGGTGAGTATATACGCCGGAGCTCTGTTTATAAAATTAGCTTTAGATTGGAACATGTATTTATCAGTGGTTGGATTATTATTGATAACTGGTGTTTACACCATATTGGGTTAGTATTATTATATTCATTTTATTTTTACTCAAGAGGAGTGAACCAATACAACCTTGAAAGTATCCTTATACTCTAATAATAACTTTTAGTATTAAAGATTTCATTACAAAAATTGAAATAATGGCAATACATCCTTCGTATCGTTGTGAAATCTTGCAATAAAAAGAACTTTAAATAACAACAGCAACAACTACATCAACACCAGCAATAACAAATACAAAAACAACAACAGCAGAAACATCAGCAATAATTTCAACTACAACAACGGCAACAAAAACAAGAACGCCAACAACTGCAACAACATCAGCATCAACTATAGCAGCAACTGTACCAACAGCAACAATAGCAACTACAACGCCAGCAGCAAATGCAGATTAAACGTTTCATAAAACAACAGCAATCGCAACAGAAAAAAGCGACAACTACAACAGCGACATCAACTACAACAGCAGTAACAATAACAACGTCAGTTGTCTTAGTGTTTGCATAAGACGTTCCATGACATTAAAATATACCATATAGTCATATTCGCCTCTACTGTTTCTTAGTTCATTTGTGTCCTTTCTATGGTATTATTTAATATAATATCAAATAATTGATCATTCTCTGTGAGAATATTGACTAAATGAAAACTGGTGCTTAACAATCAATGATCTAAACTAAAAATATTGATAGTCAAACATAAAACAGAGTTGTTTATAACCCCGAAGACTACATATTCTCTATCGGACTTTCCGATTCAATATGATAATAAATAACTGAAATAGAGTCACGTTTCCATTGTCAAATATCAAAGACTAAAGATATATGTCATAAAACTAAAAAAAATACATTTTTTTCATAACTATTTGAAAAACAAAAGATAAAACCTACTATAGCAACTTAGGTTCACAAAGGATCCTTTATACCAGTTATTCCTTGATACAAATGGATAAATGGATGGAAATCATACACCAGATTCCATTCTGCCACTGGGCTAGACCTTTCGTCGTTCCCTGAAGATACCACATGGCTAAAACTCATTGTACATAAGAATAGTAGGAATTCATTTTTTCAAATATATATATATAATTATATTTTCAGGAGGTTTAGCGGCTGTGATTTACACCGATACATTACAAACTGTCGTCATGACTATAGGTGCTATCATTCTCTGTATTATTGGTAAGTATAAATCGAGGCGAGTTTTGTACTTTGTAGCCCGTACCTCGCATTATGAACCCTACGATGTACGATGTACCATCCGATGAGTAATATTCGCTAAGATGGCTGCTGTATCGCTTGCTGTCCTTGCCGATTTTCCCTCAATGCTCTCTTCTTGGTCTCATAAGCATGAACGGGATACTTAGACTTAAAACCCCCATTTCATTTTCATTTCATTTGTAGGTTTTGATAAAATTGGAGGTTTAAATGGTCTCCAGTATAAGTACATGGAAGCTGTACCATCAGTTAGAGCAAACAACACCACATGTGGAGCGCCCAGATCTGATGCGTTCCATATATTCCGTGATCCAGTCAACTCGGACAATCCATGGCCTGGCTTGTTAATCCAGAGCAGCCTTGGGTGTTTATGGTATTGGTGCTGCGACCAGGTAAAATATTCAGACATTTGTGCAGTTCTCGCTCTGTTCGGTGACATACTTTGCTCAAATGCCTGAGGTTCAATTTAAGAAACCACCATTTCCAAAACGAGAATTTTAAACACGCATCGACAGCCGTATATGAGCTCTAATCATATAGAAAGTTAATGAAAATCGGTAACCTGAACGTGAATTACTAAAACTATTATGACCCTTGAACTTACGATTCTGTCTGGGTTGAGTTCATGTTTGATGTTCAATGGTAGTTCGAGGTTTAATCCTGACTTATATCTATATAATTCTTTGGTATTTCTTCAAATCGGTTTTCCTCAGTTAGTGACACATGTCGAAGGGGTGTATGGGGAGAAGCGTATCGTTGTTGGGGGATGATAGTAAACAAATCACAAATCATTGCATTAACCGAATAATGAGTAAAACCCCCAAAATCTTCGTTATTATTTAAGGTTATAGTACAGAGAACACTAGCAGCGAAGAATTTAAGTCATGCTAAAGCTGGATCTATAGTAGCTGGCTATCTGAAATTATTACCACTGTTTTTGATGATCTTTCCCGGTATGATCAGTAGAGCTTTATATGCAGGTAAATAATGCTGAATTCAAAACACAATAACAACTAGCAGTATTGATTTGTTTCTCGATCGATCTGAGTGGGATAACTGGGAGCAGTTGTACCAAAGATGCTGACTATACAGTTATTTTACTTTTCAATTTCTTTCGGATACAATTGCTTGTTATTGATTTTGAAATTTGTAGATGCTATTGCCTAATTTGTATTTGGTAGATGCTATTGCCTAATTTGTATTTGGTAGATGCTATTGCATAATTTGTATTTGGTAGATGTTATTGCCTAATTTGTATTTGGTAGATGCTATTGCATAATTTGTATTTGGTAGATGATATTGCCTAATTTGTATTTGGTAGATGATATTGCCTAAATTGTATTTGGTAGATGATATTGCCTAATTTGTATTTGGTAGATGATATTGCCTAATTTGTATTTGGTAGATGATATTGCCTAATTTGTATTTGGTAGATGATATTGCCTAATTTGTATTTGGTAGATGATATTGTCTAATTTGTATTTGGTAGATGTATTGCCTAATTTGTATTTGGTAGATGCTATTGCCTAATGTGTATTTTGTATATGCTATTGCCTAATTTGTATTGTGTAGATGCTATTGCCTAATTTATTTTGTAGATGCTATTGCTTGTGTGGACCCTGTGGAATGTGAGAAATATTGTGAGAATTCTGTAGGTTGTTCCAATATCGCTTACCCTAAATTAGTCCTAGAACTCCTGCCAGTTGGTGAGTTACTTTCTTATAGTGTACACATTATTTTATTCTTACATTGGCACATACTGGAGCGTGGTGGTTCGAACCTCATATATAAGCTACTTATTTTTCTATAGACAATCCAACACAATACACCATACCTCGTCCATTGAAGGACAATATTAAGTAACTCACTTCTCTTGTTGACCACACTTGACTATATCAGTGTATTCGTTGAATATTTTCAGGATTACGGGGGTTATTAATGGCTGTAATGCTGTCAGCTATTATGAGCTCTCTAACCTCAATATTTAACAGTGCTAGTACCCTGTTTACTATGGATCTGTGGAGGAGAATCAGACCAGGTGCCCTGGAGCGAGAATTACTTATTGTAGGCAGGTACGTGCATTCTGATCAATGGCCTATTTTTTTTTTATTGAATCCTGAAGGAAAACTAGTTAGTGCTGACTCGTACGTGCATTCTGATCAATAACCTACTTTTTATACTTCTAAACGATACTTAATTATTATTGTGCATTCTGATCAATGACCTACTTTGTATTGATCCCGTGAAATATACTAAATATTGTTGACTCGTACGTACGTGCATTATGATCAATGACATATTTTCTTTACTGACTCATGGGACACATACTTATTGTAGACTAGTACGTGCATTCTGATCAATGACCTTTTTATTGGCTCCTGAAAGAAAACTAGTCATTGTAGCAGCATGGCATTCTGACCTACTTTTTTATTTACTACTGAAAGAACCCTATAGTTATTTTTGACTCAACTGAAAGAAAACGGCGTTGGCAGGGACGTCCAACCTGGTTAATGACCTACTTTGGGTGACAGAATGAAATTAATCCTCAATTAGAGTTAAGATCTGTGGCACACGAGTACCTTTTTCTGGTTTGATTAGTCTTTTATAATAAAGGAATGCTACTTCTTTCTATATTTAAGGTTATGTGTAGTGTTTTTATGTGGAGTCAGTATATTATGGATACCGCTAGTAAAATCTTCCCAGGGTGGTCAACTATTTAACTATATACAAGCCGTACAGGGATATCTCGGTACTCCAGTTACTGCACTCTTTTTGATGGCTGTATTCTGGAAACGCATGAATGAAAACGTACGTAATTTATGTTTGTATTGAGTACTTGGATGTTTTGCAATCCGCTTACCAATCAGTTGGGGTGGATGGTTTAAGAAACTGCAAGACAACCTACAGTTAGAGTGTTAGGGAGCAAAGAAGAAAAAATTATTTTGGTGATTAAGGAGTTTACTTAAAGAGGCATGAAAAATGCGTTTAGGCTCTTTGAAAAATGCAAACGATTTTACTAGGATAACAACTTCAGTTAACTTAAGTACCTTGACATTGATATTTCTTGAATTATCTATACACCTGAAAGATGACTTACAAATCGTTCTCACATTGGGATCTGGATCAGCTCAAGGCAGTTCTATATTAACACCTGTCCAATTTTGATGGTTTTTGTCTTGAATTCACAATGGGGATTGGTGTTTTGTTAACTTTAAGAGACATAAAAATGCCTTTAGGTTTAAACAACCAATTTTACAAACCTCTTGGTTTTGATCTCTCCTAGATTATCTCCCACAATTCACAAGACTTTCTTACGTCGACTGAGATTAAACCCCACGACCACTAACGCTTTAAGCGTATCTGCTCCAGCCCATCCAAAATCTGATCATGGATAAACTCAAGACAGCCTTTTACTCATATCTGTCCAATTTTGATATATTCGTTTTGGTTGTTTCCCGTCTGATATGGTATTGTGACTTTGTATTTTTTTAATTCAGGGAGCGTTTTGGGGAATAGCAGTAGGGCATATCTGTGGAATTATAAGAATGGCTGTAGATTTCTCTTACCCGGCACCAGATTGTGGTGAAGAGGAAACTCGACCATCAGTTCTACTCAACGTACACTATACTTACTTCGGGTCCCTAATCTTATTTATCACCACTATCAGTATTGTTATCTTTAGTTTTCTTGATAAACCACCGTCAGAAAAACAGGTAGGTGCTCAAAAGGACGGTTTCATAAAGTCTAATCAAATACTAATAGAACACTTTGGTTTATAAAACTAGCTCCGAAATTGAAAATCGATCTTACATGTAGTGATCGGCCAATCAGATGACTAGTACACTAAATTTAGGATTTTTGTGATATAGTCCCCAGATTTTAATAAATACAGCAAGCTTGAAATTGATTTTGGTGATTTAACCAATCAAATGAATTGAATACTGAATTATTTTAAATTCAGATTTTGTTTGTTTAATTTTATTTGCAGTTAAGAGGTGTTACTTACTGGACGCGGATTGATAAACTTCCGGTAGATGAAAATAAACTAGAAGAGGAGAGTATGAATACATGTTCTAACGGTGATACAAAAGGTGAGCTCAGTAGAGATATCAGCTTCTGGCGGAAGCCGGGCTCCGTATCATTAAATAAATAAAATTCACCATCAGAATGCGATTGGTCTCGATGATTATTTCAAAATATTGTAAGAAATGTAAAATTCATACCTTTTTATCATTCGATTTCCCGGCTTGGAGCAAATATATGAATTTGTCAGAAATATTTTTTAGTTATTCTCCTATATCTTACAATTTTCCCATGTCAAGGGAAGTAATCCATCTTAACATTCGAGCAATTTTAACAGTATATGTCAATAAAATAACATGTACCATTGGATATTGAATTAAACGCCGATTGGGAGGGTTGGAGTTGCTGATCTTTGGGGTTGTATTTGGGGGTACTGATCTTCGGGGTTGCTGTTTTTTTTAGGTTATTTAGGTTGCTGGTCTTTTGGGTTTCTGGAGGTAGAAAGATTCAAAAACATTTACCCTTCCGATATTTATTTTCTAGTAAGAGATTGACACAAGAATTAAAGGAATAATGATCCTCTATTATAGATAGACAGGAAGATGAAGTGTCAGAAGATGTACCAGGAAGATGTAAAAGGATGGTGAATTTTATTTGTGGGATGCCAACGTCTCAGTCCAGTGATACCCCGGACATTACTCTCAAACAAATCAGGGAGTTTTTATATGAACAGCCTAAATGGATGGCCTTTATGAACGTGAATGCTGCGATCGGGTGTGTGGTTATGGCATTTTTAGCAGGGTTCTTTCATTAGTACATGCACTAAATTTATATATTTTATATTCGGTATTAAAGGGATTAAAAGTCTAGCCTTTGTATGTGAATTGGGAAACATGTGGAGTGAACAAGCTGTCTAAGTGTTTCTAGGTTTGGTGGAAATATAAATGATGTGAATAGAAGTTAATTTTGTTACCAATAACTCAATATATTTTCTCGTCATCACGTAAATTTCTTTTGTTGTATTGATAAAGCGTTTAGACAACGACACTGTTTCCATCCCTACCTCTGTTATTGATATGGAGGTTGACATTGATGACAGCGTTTAGTTGTTTAGTTGACACACGGCCCTGTGTGCTGCACATTCCAGAATTTGTATTCTAAAAAAGGGTAGGCTTGTGTAGCGTCATTGCTAAATTTCTATATTCCATTTTATTTCAATGTTAGACTTTAGATTGCGGTGAGGTTGCTGAAATAAGATAAGTGTTCTGAAATTACATTTGAGTCAATGACCAATATTTTGAACAAATATAATTTAATTTATACAATATAATCCAACAATAAATTGATTTCAAAATATATTAAGTACATTATCAGGTAAATAACATTAAGTAGGTGTTAAATTGGTTACAACATCAATATCATAACATTCGTAATCAATCAGGCAAAATAACTTTTCAGAATTTAACGTAAGTTAGGAACAATATTCAGTTTGGGATAACAACACCCAAGAATGGCTTTCCAAGATATTATTTTTCATACGGAATTTAAATTCTACAAAGATAAATCAGTGATTGAAGAAGACTGACGTTGCAATATAAGGAGACAAAAGGGAAGGCAAAATAGAAGCAGGTGGCTTTAAACACTGGTAAAGAAGCAGATAGCAGAAAATGAAATAGGTTTATTTTTCGCCGCCATTGCTCTTTACGCCTAATGACAGTCTGCAACGTTCCTAGCATCTGATGAAGACCTTATCATTCATTAGTAATAATATAAGAAAAAATTTAAGACATAAAATTCATTAAAATGTAATGTACTACATATTTGAGGGAAAAAAATTAATTATCAAATTATCCATCACAAAGAATAAATATTATTTTACCCCAAAGGAACAACATATAGTTATATCTACAAGGCCATTATTAATCTCATTATTAGAAATATATATTACGTGTATATATTACAAACCACTCCAAGCCAGTTTATATCAATCATAATGGGCAGTAAGTAATGAGAGGGTAAAGAAAAATAAACAAATATCTCGGAAACAATGACTATGTGGTTTTGTAATCTACTGGAGCTGAGCTATATTTATCTTTCTCGAGAATTAAAATGCAATCTTTGACAATTCAACAAAATCTTTTACCGACAAAAGACCTATTACCATTATGACGCGTTCTTGTGGTTTTACCCACAGAACAAAGCCCTCTGTATTAAGGTTACTGGCCCGTGAGGAATTAAAGTTGATTTTACTACATTTACAGTGTAAGACTGTCCAGAACAAGGCGCTCTGTGGTAGGGTCACTGGCTCTTGGGGGATTACAGTTGATTTTACTACATTTATAGTGTAAGACTGTCCAGAACAAGGCGCTCTGTGGTAGGGTCACTGGCTCTTGGGGGATTACAGTTGCTTTTACTAAATTTATAGTGAATGACTTCCCAGAACAAAGCGCTCTGTGGTAAGGTTAATGTATCGAAACTGGTCAATTGCAATCCTTGAGGGATTAAAGTTTATTTTACCGCATTTATACAAGCGGATTACTTCCCTTGCATTAAAATCTGAGGGTAAGTGCGAATAGACGAGTTACTTTATAGCATTTGAGATCGATACAGAAGAACATAAGCAAAAATCCGAATCCGTATTAGATTCTTCTATATTGTACTGTTTCAATAATCCCACACAGGACAGCGTGTCTATTCGCACTTGCCACTAATAAACTGTTACTGGATCTGTTGAAAATTACGTAGTGCACTTTGCCTTGTTTCAGTATCACAATATTCTGTATCACGAATCGAGGGTAGAGAGAGGGGAATATTAACGATTTGCAATCCGTTATGACCAGTTCGTACATAGTTTTACTATCTGATCGACAATATGTTCCATGTTCCAGCAACCAGCGTTGGGTTTATTGGTCCAAAAACTTCGCTATTTACAATCATTTTTGCTCTTGGGTTCTGGAGGTATTAAAGGACCATACGCCTGGCTCCAGTCTTGTAAGCTATTTTCCATATCTATATCTGATGGATCGATGACGTAATGTGTTCCATCTGGTGACGTCAGTTCCGCATCGCCATCTTCTTCTGGTACTGGTATTAAACGTCTCTGTGGCTCCATGGGTAGAAATCGTCTTGGCGGTAATTGACCATATTGCCTAGAAGATACCAGCAGAAATATGATACATTGTGTTATTAATATTACAAAAAAGTACTTAAATTCTGGTTTAGTTTTCCTAGATTTCAGTTATTGATATTGACAACTATCTCACTTCCAGTTTAGTTTTAAATTTTCATTGGCTCGAACTCTAAGAAGAAAATTTGAGTTTTGTTTTCTTTCACAAACACTGCATTCACAAATACAATGAATAAGAGGTTATTTACTGTGTATATATAAATAGTGTACCGATTACTCTTACAAAACACTTGATGCCACGCTAGGACCAGTTTTGTAAACACAACATTCAAGAGAGAAATGAAACGAAGTGGAGTTTTACGTTCTTTCTTTTCTGCACCAAGTGAGCTAATGAAGAACGTCCACATGGCCTATATTTTCTATTACCCTGAGTACAACCTAATATTTTTTTCGTTTCATATTTTTTAAAATTCCACAATTTGAACCCAAACCTATGAAAATAAAGAACGACTTGACGAAGCTATCTATGATCTAGTAGGATATATAAAACTGTAGGAGGTAGAATACTAGAGGTTTATTGAAGAAATAATCTCTTGGTAGTAAGACTTACAGATAATGTCAAACCTAATTCCGTGTTTTTGTTACAGATCACGCTTTTCTCTCTTGAGTTCAGAAGTTTTGGTAGAAAATTCCAAAAGGCCAACCGCCTCAACAGTCAACATCAGTACCGACCCACCATTACTTACTTAATAGGTCTGTTTCTTAACGATTCCATAATATTGGCGTCCTTCTGAGTTAATGTTTTATGTTGTATGAAATTTAGTATCCATAATATTGCCATATTTCACTTCCGGTTTACCGAATAGTGCGGTTGGTCGGTTGAGATTTTATACCAAACCCTTCTAGAGATGATGGATGGAAGTAACGAGTGATTTTTATTTTTATCTAGAATAGTTTTGTCACCTATATATTATAGTTATCTAATTAACAATCTCTCTGTCTTGTCTCTGCTAAATTATTGTCTTAACATTTAACCACAAGTTAGAACTGTCAGATGATGTTTGTGGTTAGATCACTAGGTCATTCCTTCAATATAGAGTTTCATTATTTTAACCTCAATTACAAGGTTTGAGTCAACAGTCCTACTTTTCTGCTCCTTGATGGCTTAACAAAGATGATCAAAGTCGTGGAGTAGAAGTAGAATGACTCGGTAATTCTTTACATATAAATAACATTTATTCAGCAACAATTACAAGACTAGAATCATTAGTCCTACTTTGCTGTACTTAGTGGTTAAAATAAAGATCAGCTAAGTCGTGCAATTTGCAAATAGAGTAAAGTTTTCATTTCATACATGAGTAGCGAATTTGTAACTCTAGATTTGCTAAAGAAGATGAGTAATGCTATGCCATCTGCAATAGGGAATGTGCCAAGTTAACAGCAACTTGCACTGAATGTAGCACACGACGAGAACAGGTAATGTTACCATGTGAACGACTAATGACATATAAATGTTGTTAATTTTAAATTATACAGTAAAGGAGTATAATTTTGTGAAAGATTATAATATGGAACAAGTTTTGTTCTGGCTTTTTCAGAATAATCAAATTTTGTGATTTACACCAGATAAAAGAAAAGTTCGTGTCGTAGAAGACTTTTGTTCTCCAGATACATATATAAATGCTGCCTCAGGAGTTTTATAATTATTCTAAATAGACACAAATTTCAAATATTGTTTAACCACACGAGCGTGTATTTATGTCATGGATCTGGAGAAATAAGTAAAATATATGTCGTAAATAAGGCTGATTTTAGTTCTCAGAAAACATATATAATTATTGCCTCAGGCTTTTGTCAGAGTTTAAAAGAAACCTGCTGGTTTTCTGGTTTCCATCAACTTCATTCTGTTCCGATTTTTTTTTCAAAATAGAATAAATGACATAAAAATAGGTGTTAAAATCTCTATCATGAAATTGCCTGCGGGAAGTCTTAGATTTTTGATCTGAAAAACTAGATCTAGACATGAAATAAGTTTATTGGAGTTTTAATCTACACCAACAAGATAATAATCGAGAATATTCTTCGCTGGTGGTGCAGTGAGCAGAAAGCATGTATTTCTTCTGCAGAGCTATTCGTTCAGGAGAAGTTCAAAGATGGTTTATTTACGAGGAAGCTCTGAGTGCTGAAAGCGGATTGGAATCACATTAATCATGAACGCAAACCTAAAACTTCACCTGTAAAAACTATAACAATAACTTTGGTGCGGAAATATAAATTGCGAAATAAGGGGTGTAACACTTTACAAAATTGAAAAGTTAGAGTTTAATATCAAAACGTTTCTCGATTATAGAATGTTTAAGAGCTTTCATTTCTGTCTGTCAGTAAGACAAGAATACGAACAATAATAAGAGAGCATGCTAGCCTTGATCTAAATTAATCAACACGAATCACAATGTAGTCAAGTAGAAGGGAAAGTTGCGTAACAGAATCAATCTTGAGTAGGCTCTAATGAGAAAAATAATCCCTCAATTTTAATCAAACGTTCATCCCACGTAAGCAGTTACGACGATACTTAGATTTGTAATCCCAAGTCATGGACTCAGTTCCAATAAATGTTTTGTTTCTGATTACTATCCTGTTATTTTGAATTACGGTTTAAGGATTCCGACATGAACATAACGTTTCTACAATTTACATCGTGAAAACCAGCATAATGAAATACTGCTTCATTTATGATTGATATACTTCCTCATATGAAAAATTCATTGGCTAAAACCAGGGCATTGCTAAAATATTGTTTCGTTCGTACTTGCTTTTTTTTAAATTAAATACTTACATGAAATACGCCCTCTGATCGACAACACGTGGTTCCAGGTTTCCCAATTCTGGTTGAACTTCTACAGCATGGCCTGTCAATGGTTTATCCAAGGCACCAAAACTAATTTTAGGTTCCAGTCCTGGAGAGGAATCTTCCACCCTGAAATAACAATTTTTATTATTTTAAGATAACAATTCTTCTGAAACACAAAACAATATACAGTGTGCACAGTTGGAAAGCGTTAAGGTTATTTTCTACTGAACGCAGTCTCTAAACCTCCTCTCTGACTACAATGATTTCTGAATTGAATTTTGTCAATAAGTTACGAAAAAATTGAAATATCAATTATAAAATACTACTGGGAATCTAAGATTGTCTTCGGGTTGATAAAATTGTTAACCACTGGTAAAGTTATTTTGTGTAAACATGATTTACACAGAGAGGAATTTTCAAATCGAAAAGTAGCTCGTTTTCAAGTGAATTTTCTGGGAGGGAAGTGTCTCTATTTAAAATGTAAATCACTGAACCTTATATTACTATGGACCCTAAGACAAGTGGTATACTTTTTGGCAAATTTGTTTTTTAACATTTATGAAATAAGAGAAAAATTTCAATTAATAGAGTAGCTTTGTGGACTGCTAAGTTGACAATCTTATTGTCATAAGTTATCCATGGCGATAAAAAACACGTAAAGAAGAAGTACAACGTAGATTAAAACAATGAATTACCAAGAATATATACAGCAGGGAAACTTTTACTGATAATTTGATTGGCTTGAGTTTAATATATTCCAGATCAGGGGTACCAAGTGAAATAACCTGCAGCAAAATGCACGAATATAAAAATAAAACCAAATTTAAATCAGGTGATACTAAAGAAGAGAACTGTAGTTGTTATTCATGTCAAATTAAGAGTTATGTCTTTATCTTTCTGGTATTTTATTTCAAGTGGATAAAGTGTAAAAACACCAGAGACATATAGAATTCAATTTCATTATATTCCACTTTTAAATCAGTTTTATAATTACACAACGAATGTCAGGGCAGCCAAATGACAGTGACAGTATCATTCTATTAAGTATTACCTCAAGGCTATTCATGTTTGTTAAATTTCACGAGAAATTGAAATGGAATTATGTGATGATGTGGAAATGTCAAATGACAATATGATACAGGGCCTATCTGCACAAAAACATTTTATTAATTTTGTCACAAATATTTTATCTCAAAGTAAAATTTCAAACTTACAACAAATCTGATTGTAAGATTTCTTGTAGAACCGGTCCTGGAGTTTTACGTTATGGTACATAAGTCTCTGTCTGTTATGTCAATTGGTACTTTATTATCTGTTTAAGGTTCCGATGACGAGTATACTTGTCTTCTCAAGTGAGAGATCCTATGGCGATTACGGACTAAAATTTGAACATGCTTCGAACAAGGTTATAACTCACATAAAATATTCTTCGATTTTTATTATTATTATTTATTTTTTTTTTTTTTGATAGGGTTCATCGTTTAGTGATCATGAACAATTTCACCAAGTTTTGTCAAAATCCTTCTCGAATGTTTGCTAACAATTTTGAACAGTCAAACAAAAGTAAATAACATAATTTTACGAAAATTGTACACAATTGTAATACAACGTGCAACATTATAAGAATTCATTGTTCTCATTTGCTGAAAAGGAAAGTTTCAAACTGGCGCATCTTTGAAAAGGTTGAACAAGATGATGGTAAACATTAAACTTTTACAGGAAATCTTTTCAGAACTGCGGAGACAAATAATAATAGAAGGATGCAGCATTTCATAGAAATAGAACATCGAAGAACAATAAAAAACGAAACAATTTTCTTGGAGTACATACAACAAAAAACACAGGGAATATATTATTACAGTATATAAGTAATAAAACACACTTCTTTAATAACTGAGTACATACAGGTCCTTGCAGTACATTTCTTAGCCTGTACTTGGTTGACATTTTAATGCAATTGACATTTTATATATAACTGTATAAGATTACTTACGACATGAGAGAAGATTAATAATATCAAATCTAAGAATACGCTTGACTTCGTGATCATTAAAGAAGTAAAGGCTCATGTTCGTTATTATGTTCGTTATTATGTTCGTTATCATGTTCGTTATTATGTTCGTTATTATGTTCGTTATTATGTTCGTTATCATGTTCGTTATTATGTTCGTTATTATGGGCGCGGACGTCATTGTATTTTATATATCTGCTTAGTAAATGGAAACGAAATGAATGGAGTTTTGCGTCCTACTTTTCTGATATCTGCTTAGTGGATTGTTGATAACGTCCCATATACATTGTAATACAACCGCAGGTTAGTATTTATATCTGGCGAGTGAAATTTAAATGTTGCATCTGGAATTTCAATTTCCAACAGTTTGGTCTAGAGAGGATTCAACGTTTGCTGGAAAGAAGGGAATCAGGCAGCAACTGCTATTTTATATGTTCTGTGATCTCCGGTCAACTAAATCCAGCGATTGGTCAGATTCATCCGTCTTCATTATTTACCGATTCAGACAAGGTAAAAAAAAAAGATTGATAAATTGACAATTCTCACAGTAGCAAACGACCATAATCGGCTTCCATACAGCCTTTGTAAAACTTCTCCATAGGGATTTATCTAACTGTAAGAAAATAATCCTAAATAATGGCAGGATAATATCAAATGCTAAAAGAACTCGGGTAAGGCATATACCCTAACAGACATATTTCAATAGGGCTAAGATTCCCAGCCCAAGGGGGTACCTGACTAGCTGCTGGGACAATTGTAAAAAGTATGGTTGTATAATAAGCAATATTGGTAATGGAAACTTTTCGTTCAAAATGGATCTTCTAATGAATAGGAGAAATGTACAAGAAAGGGCGTAAAAAGATACCGGGACATGAAGAGGTAGGGTTCAAACGTCCGAATGGTTGGAACGTAATTAAGATGAATGTTTTACTGTGAGCTTCTTGGTTACGTCAATAAAATGTAAAGCTGTAAACAGGTACTGAATGAGTCATATTCAATCATTATTTCAGTCAACCTAACTATAACTGATTAAAGATTAAACAACGACAAGGGATATGGCCAGGAACTAGTTGAACCTTATGTCTTAAGTTAAATCTAAAATCTAAATTTAATCTGAGAAAACTGATCTGAAATGACAACTACAATGTATCTTAAATTACTATTAGAATAAGAAACCTATATCTTTTCTATTGTACGAACATGTAGAATATGTCTGGAGGCTTCGTACTTCCTTAATGATATTACACACGAAACGCGACTGAAGAGAGAGAGAGCAAAATCGGTTGGGATTGAATACGCACTCGAGCAGAATGGTTACAATGTTAGTCAAGTAGACCATTGGAAAATCTTAGAAATTAAAATTCACTTCACACATCTCTCGAAGGAAATAGACGTTAAATTTTATTACATTAATAGTGACAAATTTCATTGTTGACTTCTAAGACTGAAAGAATGAGTTCAACCGAAAGAAAAATAACAGAAAAATTTAATAATTAGAATTTAGTGCGGCTGTCTTCAAAGAATTGAAAGATCATTATTTACGCCGGTATCTTTGATAACTTTTTAGTGCCATACTGATATAGTCGGCTCTCATTCATTACACAATTCCTACGGTAAATGACCGAAATCAAGGTTGAGGTCACAAGTAAATGTCAAATGTTAGCACGAAATTGGTGCTAACAAAGAAATACAGATCACACTTTGAGACGAGTTCCGTTAGCACTGCAGGAAATTCTCAGCTGGGTACCTTTACCCCAAGAGCCCTTCGTTTTCATAATAGGCTAGGCTACTTATAGAACAAAACAATACATTAATCAGATGCTAAAGACTTTTTCTAAAAAAAAATTATGTGTATCGGGCAATCGAGGACACTGAGAACATCAGTTTGCTTCATTCCAATTAGACGTCTGTGATTCCTGCAATCCCACTAAAACTTACCATTCTATAACGTCATTAATCGCAAAATATGCTTTATCACAAGAGGTCATTGCGATTAGTGGTGTCACCAAACACTTAATTTTAGTGGAATTGCAGAAACCACAGACTTCTGATTGGAAATTGGAATGATGCAAATTGATGCTAGCATTGTCCCGGATACACATAAATTTTTTTAAAAACCTTGACTTAACCTTTAAACAATTTGTAAGAGCTAACACGTTAATTAGATTTTAAACCAAATTTTCAGCCTCAAGGGAAGTAATCAGTGCTAAAACAATTCTAACGAGTTTCAGTTGAAAGTAGGTCACCACAATTTATAATCCAGTTAGGGAGGCAATTCCTGTGAAACGATGAATCGTTAATCGACAAATTGCTGAAATTATACAGTCTGAAACCACATTCAGATTTTCGACCGAACCATAGAACCATAGAGTTTAAATGTAAAATGGGGAAACAGTAAAACAAGACGCTTTGATTTTAGATTTCAGTAACGAAATAATTTTTGCTTTCTGAAGGTGCGGGCACACGAACGGTCATGGTCGGAGATTTTTGTCGTCTGAAAGACAGACTGTCATCATCCGATCAGATTCATTTTCCTTTCAATTGCATGCTCCTAACGTGATTATCGACAGATTTTTGACTCTTCGTGTGCCCGTGTCGGTCAGGGAAATTCCTGACAAGACTCTAGTAGGCGACACAAAACCCCTCGTGTGCCCGCACCTTAGTTGTCTGCTCTTGAATAGACATTACACTAGCTTGAGAAAGGTGCGATCATGGCTTGTATAGACAATGAAGCAAATCGTGTATCATTCTATTCGGACCTGTACCGCGAGTGTTCGCTTCTTCTATTATCTACCGAGAGTACACCCGAGCCCTGTTTCGCATAAAATAGAACAACAGAACTTGTGTGTCGAATTTTACATTGAGAAATACCCTACTCTCGATATTTATCAGGACCATATCAATTCCCACCTTAATTCATTATTTTAAGAGAGTGAAGACTTACCCTTGTTTTCGTCGTCTGTAAACCAATATAACTATCACTAACACAATGGTGGCCAATAACAGAGCACACAGTACCAGCGTTATTACAATTATTAGGAACGGTAGACCTCCTGAAAGTAAGAGTACATACATTTCTTCTGCCTTATCAACACGTCTACTCAATACTGACATTCTGTTGATTTGATTTGTACCAGTCTAGTGTGAGGCTCCCCTTAGGCCCTGTCATGAATCTTAATTTCAACACATCTCTCTGATCTATTTCTATCTCATACCTCAAGCCATGGAGATGTTTTTACCCATTTTAAACCAAATGACGATCACACCCTATTATTACGTCTTGTTTATGTTATTGCAACGAAAATAGGAAGCTAGTGCATTGTCTTTATGTTGCAATACCAATACATTTGAACGATATTTAGGATCGAGAGGCATTTATAACAAAGAAACAGAGCATGTAACAAAAGTTGAAGGACTTCTTATGACAGAAATAAATTTTTGAGAAACAGCACATCTGAAAAGATACAAGACTCCATCATCCCAACATTGTCATGGTTGGCCCCGTTTTTTTCGCATTCTAAATAACCAAATAAATGATACTTTAGTTAACAAGATGTCAAGAATAATCAAAGTTGATAATTAACACCACCAGGCTTTAAGCTTATTATATTCTGTTTTCCAATAAAAGCCAAAGGGAACAAAAGTACTGTTAATGAAAATGTAAATTGTGTAAACGTCGTGTACAATACAATTTAGAAGTAGTATATCATAAAATTGTGTTGAGTTATTTTATGTGATCTGCGTCCCTCATTGTCGTTGACGGATTAGAGGAACGATTAGTATATATGATTCAGTCTGCAATAATTTTCAGAAGGGACATGTAGGTCATATATTTGACCTGTCATACTTTTCTCTCAGACATTGGAATTTTCTAGCTGAGCTAATCAGTAATAGTTTTTATAGCTCACCGTCGATGTGTCCATAATTACCCGCGCTTTAATATTAAAATGACGACTCGTTATTTTAAAATATATAGAAAAGACATCTATAGAAATAGTGAGTAAAATTCCTAGTTTGAATTATTTTTAAAGGAACTATGTGATGTTCGTACATTTTTAGTACTTATGAAGATTAGTTGCATATATTTAAGACTAAAATCAACCCCCCAAAATGGCACCTGTCCCTTTAAAAGTTTCTATGATACTTTTTCAAAACCAACCTTGTGCAATGGCGGCCGCCTCGGCATTTGAAATACATTTATTATCTTCTCCCACCCAATCACCATCGTCTTTACAAATCTTCTGTGTATTGACGTCACTTCCGATCAGGGTATACCCTTCATTACAGGTCAGTGTAGCTATACTACCCGGATGAAAACCTTCGATCTTCCAGATACCATTTTGGACGGGATCGAGAACTTGACAAGTGCCAGCTGAAATATACAAAGATCAAACAGTTAATTTAAAAGATTTCAAAAGATGAATGACGGATGAAGAACCTTTAGACTTATTCTATCAATATGATGTGACCTTTAAGAGACCAGTCAGCCATCATCTCTCCTCATCCTCATCGGGGAAGATAACTGTTCTGAAAGCATTATAGAAGCCGTTCCATTGTATAAAAATGTCACATAGCAATTTGACTAGTGGAATTTCAGAGAAATGTTCATATGAGGGGCTTTTTTTCCACTTATTCAGATATGCTAAATCTGAAAAAAGTGATGTCATTTTGTTATACAAAATAGAAGGTCAGGGATCCAGAATTTCGCTTGAGAACCGTTTTTTTCGGATTCGGCAGACCTGTAATATTTTGTGAAGGCTTTTACCCAAAAAAGCCCCTAATAACACTTTATAGAGAGTCCTTTCCATCAGTCTATTTGCACTATTGTAGCTGTCTATTTTATCCTGTGATAAAGTATCACGCACGCACTAATATATCTAGAAACATCTTGGAGACATCATTATATCGAAAGTTGATCCAATGTGGTCCAATCATATTACATGTATAAAGTATAATCGCTATAATGATGTAAAAGATTTTTTTGTCTCTTATCAGAACATTGAACCGCTGTTTGTTTGTTTGTTTGTAGTTGACCGAATTGAGGACGCTAACCTTGTTATAACGTTTTTTTATTATTAAATTTACACCACAGGCGATGGCAGGCTTTGATCATTATTCAACTCGAGAGAGAATAAAGTCAGTAAATGTCGTGAAATAATGAACGGTTTGTGAGACGACAAAACTCATCTTCACAATGTCAAGCTTTTACAAACTGTGTCTAATACCTTGACTCAGTGGTTCCCAACCTTTTCCAGCCCTCACACCCCTAGTGCAAACATTCAAATCTTTATCAGACCCCAAAACCAATAGATATACAAAACATTCAAGATAAATTCTTTTTTCACAACAGTTGGCCACACCCCTGACACTTACTATCACATCCCCAGGGGTGAAAACACCATAGCCATTTTTTTGTATCAGGGAAAACAGTTTGTAAATGCAGCAATCTGAATGGTTTGTACACTAGCGAATACAGCCAATCATAGCCTCCGACTACACGAATACCATATAACTGTTTACAATCTTTCTTTGCAAAGTCTTTGGCTATAATCTCTAGTTTCTCTCCAATCAAATCACTTCACTTACAAGCTTATGTGATACGCGAAAGGTGGCTATTGCAGTCAAGGTATAAGACGCAGTTGGCAATAGCTTGGCATTGTGAAGATGGACAACACCGCTCTGTAGGTTATAATGGTTCTTTAATACGCTAGTTGTCGTCACGAAAAATCCCAGTCTTAATCTTCTAGAACACGGAATATCTTAATAAATACAGTCCGTGTACGATAGAACATGAGATAATTAGCATTTAAATCTGTTTGTTGTTATAGGTTTCTTTTTTATCATAACGATTGCGTGGGTGGTTTACTTTTAATATCTGTCGATTTATACTATTAACTCACTTCTTTAGGATCAATTATCACAATTCGGATAGTTTTGAAGTTTAATTTTGACAAACTAATCTATCTTACAAAATCATTTAAGAATTATCAGCATATTATCATCCCATACAGGACTGAAAGAATTAACAGATCATTCGACCTTGTTCGAACAGGACAGTGCCTACTCTAAGCTCTCATGGGGTCAAAAAGGTCAATTATTTTTGACCTGCAAAAAATGTGTCGAAAATTCTCTCGAGGTACCTCACAGACACTCCTTGCCATCTATGGCGCTTCAACAGAGCTATCGTATTTTGAATCTCAACCTTGACAATTATTGGCTCATTACTTGTCTTCGTCGGTGATTTTCGAGTAGGAATTTTGGTTTGCGGATAAGATAGGTAACAATGGCTTCGTTTTTTACATAAACAGTAGACTATGGCCGATATTAAAATTTGTGTAACAACCAAGTATCTTATCCCTGTGTTTTCCAACCAATATTTAGCTTCAAAATACATTAGTAGCTTGTATTCATTTTCAACAGGATTATTTCCTTAATACCATATCTAGATCAAAATTAATACCAGTCATGATGGTCTCAACAGACAAAAACAACTTCAGAAATAGCACCATCGTATTATTCTTGGAAAACAGAACAATCGCCAACGAACGAGATTTGATTACAAATTATTACTAAATTAATTTTTGTTCACGATGTTTGACATGTGTTTTGCCTCACGTTTTGAAGGGATAATAAACACGGAGAACACTCTGGATTGTGCAATGAGGGGATTGTTTTAATTAGAGTTTTAAATTAGGGTTTCCATGTTCATCTGAAAAGTTATATACGCCCACCACCAGCTGTCAGAAATGATAAAGTCTTTGGTGGCTTAATAATGAATTTTTAAATAATAAAAGTCAATTCAAAACCTCAAAAACAGGAAAGATGACTTATTCGAGGTCATCAAATACTTCATCTTCAAGCTAGTTTCTTTTACCATCAGATTACAGCTTTGGTTTCAGGGATGGCTGAAGACAATGAACTTTCAAATAAATTTGTGAACACACTACAGACTCGGAAAATGCTAGATTTTAATATCCGATTAAGATTTCAGAACAATCCTACAAAATGTACTAATAATCCATACAACTTTGAAATGAAAGACAGTGCTTTTGACGTGTGCAGCCATATAAAAAGCATAAAAGCGGATGGAGACGTCAACTTTCATAACAGCTGCAAAGAAAAGAAGTCATTTGATTGGAGAGTTTTTATTCTAGTAATATCCGGATGGTAAGACAAGAAAATGACAAGAGAATCATCTTCCTGACAAAAATATCGGAATCAGATTTCTTTAGAAAACTAGAACGCTCTAGTTAGAAACTTGTCGGAAATAGATTGTCTAGAACAGGGAAACGTCACGTTACACAATATAATGTTTTTAAAACCTCAACAACTTCGACGGTAGCTTGTACAAAACATTCTTAGAACCGCCCTAATGGTGATTGTCACCTTCTGGGTGATTTTGGGTAAGAATTGAACTAGAAACAGACACATTTATTTTGCTTAGGTCAATGTTTTTTTAGAGCTTGAACTATGTAGGTTACAATTCATCTTTTGGTACGATTATACAGATAAACCATTTACAAATCCTAATCTCCAAAACCCAATTAGACAAGATTATCATGTTCGCTGGTTAACAGTAGTTACTAGTTAGAAAATATCTCTGCTAGTCCATCAGATAATCAAACTAATTAGACATGAACTTTCTTTTACAACAGTATCATTTCTGAATAGTGTTCGACCACAAATTATAAATCTATATGGTACAATATTGGGGAAGCTTCTTCTAAGACAATCTCATTAGGCACGAATTGGAGTCCTCGTGTAGTAGAATATTTTCTTTGCTCAAGTTCAGAAACCTTGCTTACTGTACTGATTCACCTTTTGATAAATTAACACCCTTATTAAATTTGGTCTCTGATGACCTGGTGAGGCTTGTTTATCTAAAATACATGCATGAAGTACAATTTTGCAAACCAGATTTCCAAACAAAAATAAATTAAAAAAGAGCATTAGTTATCTAAAACACGTTTCAGTGGCATGAGATGACCCTTAGTTTGGCTCTGAAAATAAAATGGAAATAAGTGCAAAGATACTCTTATCTACTGTATTATACCACAAAAAGAGACTTCTAAATGGCTAACATGCTCTGATTTCCCGAGTCTTAGAGGCTATTGTATGACGTAGATGAAAGAGAAGAAAATAATGAGCTATAATTGACCTCCCCGCACTTCCGGTCTAACTGATAGATCCGGGAAAATAACCGGAAATTGAGCTGGTGGGAGGTTGGGTGGCTATCGTTTTAACCTGATTCGTATTTCACATTATGTTTAATGTTGATGATAGAGTTCGGAAGCACTTTTCCCACGAGCAGGTATCTTACTGGATAACATGATCCCATAGGTATGTCACGCATATAGAAATTTCGCAATGATGACCAATTAATGGTCTTCTTTCGGTTACCCTCTACCATAAATAACCTAACACTATCGATCCGAACGCAAAACGAAATGGGAATTCCAAAACAACACTTGGCGAAACATTGGTAGCAGCTAATGACATGAGGAAGTATATCAATCATAAGTGAGTAAGTATTTCATAATGAGGTAGCAGGTGTCTAGAAGAGTATGCATACTCTGTCTGGTGCTACACCCGTCATTGCTGCCCAACATACTCAAAAACAAATTAAAAGAAACAGTGATTTGACTGACCAATTTTAATAGTTCAAGGGAGGTAACCGATGAAAATATTTTTTTTTATTTTAACAGTTCAAGCGAGGAAACTGATCGACAAAAGTTATATTTTGATAAGAAACAACGAGGAATCATTACATAATGAAAACTGACACCAAGTGTCCAGATATTTTCTACTCACTACACTTATTAATTAAGATTTTTATTCCATTGTATTTAGTAGCCTAATTTATTATCTATTTATTTATTTATTTGGAAAGAAGGTTTTTGATGTGTCTGAAATCAAGTGTCTGAATTCTTCACAATCAAAATTTATTGTAGTCCATACTGTCCCTTTAATTGAGTGGGTGGGCACGCTGGCGGATCTATTATTTTATTTAAATTACGGTCATTAAGGCTGTATAAAGACATTGAATCCGGAGTAATAAAGTAATTAACTGTTTCAGGTCCATAAAGATCCTCACTAGTAATATGAAAACGGAAATAAGTGGGAAAAGTTTTAATATGGCATTATCCGTATTAATTAACCGAATTCGTCTCCTCGGAAATGGATTTTCACAAAAGGATCTCCTGTCTTGTGATGTAATTTTCAATACGAACAATTTTATAAAACAAGTCATATTCTCGAAAACTTGATCGGGTAAAAATTTAGATATAAGGCGACATAGTAATCAAAATAATTTGCTAAACATCTTAATGTCACGAACCATGAATTAGAATACACCTGAATTTCGAATGATAATGAATCCGAGCAGCTTCAATACAGAACCACGAACTTAAACCAACCATAAACAGCAGTCACACTGGATCAGAGATTCAGACCCAAAAACAACCTGGATAACGAACCATAATCAAAATAAAAGCACTAACTATAACAAGCCCCGAGCCAGCGTCTCATGATCTTATCATCAAATTCAGACTCCATCTATCTCTGGTCTATTTCTGTTTGATGTAAGTCTAATACAATCCAGGGAGTTATACCTGTAGGTACAATAATTCCAATAGGTCTTAGAGAGGTTCTTGAAATAGCTTGAATCTCATTACCCTTCAGGGATATATAGTCGTCTGATAATTGACTAGCTCGTAGAACTGGTACCAGACACTTCTGGCAATTTCTCGTAGATGTGGACATTGGTTAATTAAAACTAATACTGTTTCATTGTAATCAACGTTTGTGTTGATTAAGGTTATGGGTGTCTAATTGGGGTCCTAGAAGGATACCAAACAACCACCACATCCACATGGTAGAAGAATTTTGCAAATAAAATTTGTTGGTTGCATCGGAGAACTAGTTCCTTAAGGGATACCAGCGATCAGTTCTAGAATTTTTGACAGGATTATTTTATAACAGCTCTGTTATTTGTGCCAATACTTATGGTTTTGATCCCCAATCAATTTGGGTACTTGTGCCAAGACTCTCGGCAGAAGAAGGGTGCCAAAAACCATGGTTGTTTGTAACGAGTCAAATTGGGTACTGGTTTCTGAGTGTCTGGAGTCCTTTGAGTCATATTTTATGACACATTATGTCAATAGTACCACTTAGACATAGTTTTGGTCCACAGAAGGTCTTTAAACCTTGCATCCATGGTACTTTTAAGGGAAGATGATGAAAGCATAAAAGGTTGGGGTGACGAGAAACTCAAAAGGTTGAGAATCGGGATATTAACAAAAGACAAGATTTAAGAATGAACGTAATGACTTGTAAACAAACATTACAAAATAAACATTGTGTTAAATTCTCCAATTAGTTGCAGTTTCTTTCGTCAGAGTGTCAAAAAGTCTTGTTAAAATTTACAAAGATTCACTGGGATAAGCTTAATCACAACTTTCAGAAACAGATTTAGGGTAACCCTACAACAGGGAACGGGAGTTGGGTTTAGACCGCCGTGTGGTTAGTTTTATACTATTGTTAGCGAACTCTTTACGAGCTAACGTTGAATTATTGTATCTGTTCTGAGTGTCTGAATGTTGATCATTAAAAAGGTTTAGGTTCTAATGGATAGAGAGAAATATGATATTTGGGGGATAATTTACTGTTTACTCAGACGTATTCCTCCAGGCGTTAATTTGTGCTGTATAATATTGATAACTGGTATAGACAAATTATACTAATTGAGCACAAACTAGACACAGAGCTACAGACATTCCCAGCGATTCAACAGATCTAACCTTGGACATCCCGCAACACCAGTGCGTGTTATTGTGGTAATTTTTGTTTATGACGGCTCACAGTAACACGCATGAACTCAATGATGAAAAAATGGGAGGGAGGGGGGCTAACCCCTTCCTCCGCGTCACTGTTCTTTTTTAATTTTTTTTTCTAGGACATAACATAATTCAGCAATTTTCTAGTGTAAGTTTATTTCAATTGAAAGCACGTTGATCACCAAGTTGTCTGTTTTTAACCTTCATGATTAAAGAGCAGATTAAGGGGAGATGATCAGATTTCTCTCGTTCTTTGTTATTTTCAACTTAACGAAATGTCAGAGACAGTTTATAGAACACTAACCCGATCTACTGACAATTTTACGACTAATTTAAGATTATACAAAGGACATTGAGACGCTGCCATTTATAAAAGGATTTCCATGTCACATTTCTTTAGCTTGCTTACTTGAAACTAACCGATTTATTAACTCCAGAAAAGGTCAGATTGAAAAAGCCAGAGTGTTAAGTCTCTGTGAAAAATTTCAATTTGCAACTCTACCTTGAGCAAACGCCTGAGTACCTGAAATATGATATTTCTGTTGTTCTTCTTCACATTACAACAATTGGTGTAACGGAATTTTCTCCTAGGCCTTTGCTTTCGAGATTTGAATAACATACTGTTTTTACCATCACTCATACCCGAGACCAGAAGGTTTTGGAAATTAAAAAAAAAACAAATGATGGGTGGAGTCATAGGTATAGTGACTAAATCAGACCTATTCTGTCGTTTTCATGTAATTCGTTTATTGGGGGTAGAGGCCTTAGGTATTTATGTTCTCTAAAACCATTGGTGGGCTTCACGACTATTGTCATGGGTTTAACGAGTCCCTTATTATATTGTTTATTATTAAAAGCCAAGAACATTTAAATATAAGCCAGACTGCTTCGACTTCGACGTGTATACCATATGTGATTCACAACATCAAGTTCATATCGACAAAGTAATCGACTACTAACCGAACAAATGTGATCAACTTGCATCTGCGATTAACAAGATCTTCACATAGTCTGATGGCTCTGGTGCAAGCCTCGATCAAAGTTTTGCCACAACGAATAGAACCTGAGCATTCATATAAGTCGTCGGTAGGCGAATACCTCTACTGATTGATCAGAATCTCGAAGATGTTATCCTAAGCCAAATACCAGACTCAGTCGCTCTACTACAAGATCGAACTTTGTTCTGCTAAAGATAGATAAACTTTCTAGGCCTACATCTTTTACTTTCAATTTAAATGTTATTAATCATCTACCAAAACAAGATGAGTTCACAGTCAGATTCGATTAGATATAAATGATAAATGATGAACTCAATTCCACTTATACTTGTCTAAGATTGTCGGTTATAGTTCTACAAGTCGTCGAAAATCTGGTTGCTCTCGGAATCTCTAAACCACATGGTCGACATGTGCCCTACATGTTGTACTCTACTTCTCTCTTCTGAAAACGACTTGAAATTCAAATTCAAATGTATTTGACCTTATGCCATTTAAAAATTTTAAAATGTTGAACTTGATGAACACAAAATCCAGCTGAACCTGTCTGTGAATGTTCCGTCTTCATTAGATCACATGGTGCAGAAAGGTAGGACGTAAAACTCCATTCATTTCATTTCGGCGAATGTCGTTAACAGTTCTACAAGTAACGTGACTTTCTTGACAGAATGATTAAAATACTAGAAGTCTGGAGAAGGACGAATCATTAGTCTGATTATAGTTTTTAATGATCCTTTAATTCCCAGTGAGAATCAGACTTGTCATTAAGATCTTTCTTCTTGACATATTAACTTTCTTACAGAAGAAGAAGTGTGTTGGGTTCATAAAACAGGAATAAAATCCGTAAAAGCAAGATAATTCCGTGAATCAAAAATCCCGTCCAAAGAATGACAAAATCGAGAGTAAAAGCCTTATAGTAGTGGACTCCCTCAAAGAGAAGTACGATCAGGTGTATCGAAAATAGTAAGCATGGTCTGCTTCGCACGTCGCACCCAACACTACTATATATATAATTCTTCCTTGATCATTTCTCCCAGTGTATAGAGTAAAATCAATCTGAATGTTAAAAATGGTGAGACAGACCAAAGAAGTAACTTTTATGCAACAACAAAATATTGCTCATTGCATGGCGTTGCCAGTCTTCATTAGGCATTAGCCCACATGGTGCAGAAAAGAAGGACGTAAAACTCCATTCATTTCATTTTATTTCATTTCATTTTCTCACCGGAAAAAAGATTAATCTCACAATCCCTTAAAGTTCACTCTAACCTCATAAAATTATATCTGGTTTCAGACGAGTCTTTGTTTGAAACTTCCGGTAAGAAAGATCAAATGGTTCACGACTGGGAATCAAAGGGACTGTAGTTGGGTATGTCGTAATTGTATGACGCTATTTCTGGTTGGATTGGTTTAGTTTTAATCTTAGCCTTTTCAATTCCAGACCAAGAAGCTTATAATCCGGGATATAAAAGATGTAGTTTAATAGGTTTAAATAACGGAACACAATTTTATGGTAGTGTTCCGTTATTTAATGTGATCTCTACCCCTAAGTGTCGCTAAAGGATTAGTTTAATAGGCCGGAATGTGTAGTGGTCACAACTAAGTCTAGCAGAAACTGACACAAACTTCAACGCCTTCGAGCCAATGGTATTTCACATAAGAGGCTCCCTTTTGGCAAATTATTGAATTTCATTCGTTACTACTTTGATCTGTCCTACCATTTTTTGACACTATTTTCGGACTGTGACTTAACTTGTCTGACTTTAGCTAATATTCTTTACATCGACTTTAAATTGAAATACATGTTGTTATCATACTTTTGTCTGACATCATAAGAAAATAATCAAACAAATCTTGATAAAGAAATAATGCTACTTTGAAAATTTTGTTATCGGAAATGGCAGTCTGGGAAAAATAAAATACTTATGTTTTCACAAAGAAAAGATGCCATTGTGTTAAATGGACCGAGATCACGAAGTATGTTCAAATCTGTCTGAAAGCACTCACTTTACTTTCAAAGGGTAGTTGTTTTACTTATGTGACAGAGAAGGCCTCTCCTTTGATATTACACTGATTGATATACCATAGCTCGTATTGCACACTTGGTCCAACTGGGTCTGACAAGTAGTCACATGCATGACAAGGTCAGACGACCACTGACTGCTTAGATCGACGACCAGATTTCCCCCTTTGAAAGTAGAACATAGGCAGCTAGCATTCGTAAGATATTTAGAAAATCCAACGATTGATCAGATTCTACCAAATTCCTGTAATTACTAGCAGTTGTTGAAAACACGGTTGTTCTGGGTTAATCATGCCTCTATTCAGATATTGCCCTTCATCCATACAGCCATGAGCACTCTTCAGTCGTCAGTACGCTCAGGTAGACTTATTAAGAGAATGATTATATCAGATGCCACCAGATTTAACAACTAGTAAGGTTGGTCCCCCCTCCTTCAAGATATAGCCTTTATATAGTCCCCAATGTTGGTAGTTTAGTGTGTACGGAGAGTGGTCATACCTGTTCCCCCACCCTTTCTATTTATGACGAGAGTATATTTTTTATTTGTGGATTAAATATTGTTGACAAAATATATCAAGAACACCTTGTAGACACCTGAAGCTTGACAGTTGGAATTAATACAAATCTTCAGATTATTTCATGTATTATGATTTGACGTAAAATTTCCCTTGACGTCAGTATCATAATCTAGAAGATTAACGTCTGCTGGGTGGATAAATTTAAACTGGCAGGTTTCCATCCTTCTTGACAGAAGAGTTACTGTGCCGCCTACAACAATGGTAAATATCGGTGAGCGATATCATCATGTAATTTCACGTAATAACAATATCACTGACTGCCGCGAGGTGATATCACCATCTAGAGTGAAAAGCAATTTGGTTTGAATGACGCTCTTTATCATTTCGAGAT